ACAGTGGCGAGCTTAATGCCATATATAATAGGCGAGCGGTAAATTAAAAAAAATGTAATGACTTTTCAAAAGTGCTTCAATGTAAGTTTATTTGAATAAATGATTTTCTATTCTATTCTATTCTATTCTATTCTATTCTATTCATACGGTATTATCTACCAGCTTGTATATGTGGGGCCCATCATAAAAACCATGAGTGTGGGCTGTATCTTGCCAGCTCCTAGACTCTTCGGTCCCGGGGGTAAAGGATTGTTAGCAATGGAGTTTGAAAGCCCCGTTGCTGGCAATGTTTCCCACCGCCTGTACAATGGGTTGTGCTCAGAGGAATTGTTAAATATGATGCTCACAGCCACTTTCTACCATCGTACGGCTCGCCATCGACAAGGAGTTCATCCTCATATCCTACAGCCTCAATGGTCGCGTACTGCGCGGTTTCAGAGATATTTCCTCCCACGAACACTCAGGTTCTGTGATCAGGTGGGCCGTATGCTTGTTTGCCACCTCAGTAGTATAAAAAAAATCCTAAGTTTCTAAAAGGACAGTTTCGATTTTTTTCCAAATGACCTCTGAATTGAACATAATAGCTTGCCGCTAGTCATTGTAATAAAATAAAAAAAATTGTTCACACCTCTAATTACTGATAGGATAGCCAGGTTGTGGACTTTAACACTCGACATGCATTTCGATTTTAATTATTTAAATCCAACATGACAGGGAAAAATGGCGTCGCCACTTGGACGAATTTAATTTGATAATGGTGTTTTTTTTTTTAATGAACGATAGTGGAATGGTAGCTCCACCTTTTTATTACGTCTGGAAAATACTTTATGCAAACCCATACACCTTGTGGGAGGTGAATGAGTAATGTGGGAATCCCCAAGGGAAGGTGGGGGTGTACCCACCAAAAACCAGACGATATACCCTCGAGGTGCCCTATGTCGGAGACATGGATTCCATTTCGCACTCACCACATCTCCGACGGCAGCGACCCGCCCCCAGATGGTGAGAGCAAGTCTCCTCTCTCAAGATAGGGTGACTGGCGTGCTCACCCTACCACTCGAGGGATGTGCCGGTATATTAGCACATCCCCCAGGACCATTGGGACAATACCTTCCCACAGGTATCACCCCGGCCCCAGTGGGGAAGGAGGTGGGGCAAAACTAGGCGCGCCCCTTCTTCTGCGTCTGACTCGTCTGCGGCGGATTGACGGTGCGAGAGTGGCACTCTCCCGCCTCCTTTCCACCGCCTCCTTCTACGACATGATGACATCGGAGAAGGCGAGCATCGCTTCCCACGATCTCTCACTGCTCACCATCCGCCGAACCACGGCGGGCATGGTAACTCCACCTGCGCTATCGGTATACGTTGGCGGGGCACCAGTCAATGGTGATAGATGAGGATGAAACCAGGCCATTTAGCCCATCGTGAAGAATTCCACAAGAATAAATCATGAAGGTACCTCTCCTCTACCCAAAGGTTGTGTTAAAGAAATTGCTTAGCGATAAGGCCGCCTTTTGTATCACTTCTCATTAATATTTACTGTATTTGTTATTTTTCTTTTCACTTGGTACAATAAAATGTAAAATAAATAAATAAATAAGGTTTCCAGAGGGAACCGCGTGGAGGTCAATTTGATAGGATATATTGAAAGCAATGGGGACTAATCTCCCCATTACTAACAATCACTTCCTGCCTTCAATATTAACTATCAGCATATTCATAATAATGAAGATAAGTCTTATTGTAGATACAAGCAATTTGTATGTAGACAAAAATGATTGAATAACGAACACGTGACGGGACATATTCAATTCTATCTTGTTACTTGCTTGTAATCATCGTCATCAAGCAGTTTACTGAGTTATAAGACCGAAAGATCATGAATTCGAATCTGGCAATGGATTCCATTCCCATTAGATTTTTCTAAGAATGTATTATTATATTCAAGCAGAGGGAGACTTTGTACAAAAGTCGTTTGCTTGCGTACCTCTGTCCCATTCGGGTTTCTACCGTGAAGCAGTTGTACTTGTGTTACATGACATTGCTTCTTGGTAAATTTCATGATTATACGTCAACCGGAAGTACCCTATAGATTTTGATTTCCCTTGCCAATGTCAAAATATTCGATATAAATGAAACATATATGGCTATGTCCTTTGTTTGCGTCGATTTAGAAGCTTCATTTTTTTAAGAGATTGCTGACAATTGTATCATATTTGATTTAGTTGTCTAGCTTTTTGATTAAAATAACTGGATTTATCACAATTCCAGTCTTTTTTTTTTAATCCAATTTAATTGTATTATTAATTTTTTTTTATTATTAACAGAAAACACTTGGTACATCTATTCTATTTGTACTTTTACCACCAAGCAGCTGTAATTGCATAGCTGTATGTCTCTTTGTAACGTTCAATATGATAGTGAAATAACATATAATATTTTAACCTTCAAGAATAACATGAAATGACGGCATTATACTCTATAATGTCCGTGATACTATTCATGTATGTAAGCAATGGTTACTGCTGTCCATCAAGTGGACCATCTATTTATTTATTTATTCATTAGTACAAATATGTGTACATGACGAACTTAAAGCTATAGTACATTACTGCAGCGGCCAGCAACTGAGGCATTGATGGACGAACGTACAAATGTGGGCCGAGGCGTAGCCGAGCCCACCCATCGAACCGAAACACAGCCATGCAAACACAACTGCTTCACCGTAGAAACACGAATAGTACAGGGGTCCTCAAACAAATGACTTGCACAATGACTTCCTCTGGTGTAGTACGCACTAAGGGCGCTGTGACCTGACAAATTAGAGGAGTACGCCGCAGTGAGAGCGCTGTAATCTCTCATACACGCCTAGCTAATATCAATCTAAATATTCGAGAATTTTATTGGTATAAAAATAACCTGCGCCCCTAGATAAAATAGTTACCGTACCGTATATATATCGTAATTGGTTTCCGCCACCTACGGTATGGAGGAAAGGATTGAGGAAAAAAGGAAGAGAACTTTGGAAATGCCTAAAGGAAATTAGTAAATGAAAGGAATAAGGGACTTATGTAGGAAAGAAACAGGGGAGACATTACAGTTGCGGAAAGGACTGGGACACTGCAGCGGCTCGGGAGGCCGCGGTCATATACCCATATGCCCTTATTCTAGAATCTATCTATCTAGAAATATATATAGATATACGGATCTTTTTCTTTTAACGCGCCACCTACCTTCTTATGCTTTAATTCTTTCTACCCAAAGGTTGTTGGAAGAGATTGCTTAGCAATAAGATCGCCTAATATATATACTATATATATATATATATATATATATATATATATATATATATATATATATATATATATATATAATAATAGTAATATATATATATTATATATATATATATATATATATATATATATATATATATATATATATATATATATATATATATGTATGTATATATATATAATTTTAAGAAAAAGTATTATTTGTAAAAAAAAAGTAGTGCGAAGCCGGGGCGAGTCGCTACTATTGTACAAATACATACTACGTATAAATCATTTATGACACAAGAAAATTATATATTGATACAGATGATTAATTTAAAGAAAAAATTATAGATTAATAGATGAAAGCTTGAAGCGTGAAATTTAACCATACAATCTTACATGGGGTGCTATGGTACCCGAAGGAGATTTATAATATATATATACATATGTATAAGTGCATAGAATTATCATGTACAATTGATTAAAAGATGTGATTTAAGTCTTCTCTTGAAAGAAGTAATGGAAGGACTATCCCGTATGTCAGATGGTAGCCTGTTCCACAGTAGCCTTTCAGACTTGCTCATAATGATAGTAACTCATGTACATTACTTTTTACGAGGGGGAAGGGATTATTAATAATGGAGACTAAAGGCATATTGATACAATCTTACATGGGGTGCTAGGGTACCCGAAGGAGATTTATTTTTTATTACTTAATTAGAATTCATCATTACCATATCAGCCTTACCCGAGGTTAACTGTACCAAAGTCATTTTCTTGGACAACTCTGTCTCATTCGTGTTTCTACCGTGAAGCAGTTGTGTTATGGTATATGATCGTGAATTTACTGGGTCCAGAGGAATAACGCCTGAGTCCTCAGGAATGGCAACGCATGGGGGTATCATGGGTGAAACAGTATACTCTGTTATGTCCATGGTACTGCTCATGTCTATAGGCGACGGTTGCCACTTTCCAACAGGTGGGCCGTCAGCTTGTTTGCCATTCTAAGTTGTATAAAAAAAAAGCACTCCGCGTAACAGATCAATGTGTCGCCCAACCATCTCTATCTGAATTTCCCTTGTTTGTTATTTGATACTAGTGATCGTGCCCGGCTTCGCACGGGTAGAATTTAGAATTATCAAAAAGAATATATATATTCTTTATTGCACTTAAAAAATACATGCGACGATCAGTTTAAAAACTTGTTAGCAAGGGAGGACTTATCTTTGAAAGAGATCTTTTCCAGCCAACCTAGTTTAGTTAGAGAGAAAATAATTTAATTTGGGTAATCCAGTGCAGGAAAGGTACCGGTGAAAATAATGAAAATACAACAAACTGGTCATAACTAGTTTTTATACACATAATATATCTATATTACATACTCGGGTCTTTGTATGTAGTATATGAAAAAACTAGTTATGACTCGCGGTTTTTCCTGCACGAATCATAATACAAATGTATCAATCAATATACAAAATATACGCACAGCGTTAAGTTAAAATAAACCCAACCCGTATACCAATTTAATTCTAATCCGCTCAGCAATTGAACCGTGATGGAGCAATATTCTTTTAAACATACAAACATATTTACAAATTTTCACATATATCTTTTTAATTATTAATAATATTCTTAATACATAATTAAACACGTTCAATTATTAATGAGACGTCTATACTAATTTGCAAAAGTAATATCACCTGTATAAATATATAAAAGTTTCTTTTATTAATAATGCGTGAAAAAGTATAAAAGTAGAAACGCGTTGCAAGGTATTAAAATTAAATAGCTAACAAGTGAAGAAGTAAAAGAAAGAACTAACAATACATTAAAAATATTATGCATGCAAAATGATCACTTTAACAGTAGCGTTAGTTGTACTGTCATTATTTTACTATTACAGTATAACATCTTTCAAATATTGGAAAACTAGAGGAATAAAACACGACAAGCCCTTACCACTGTTCGGGAATTGTTTATGGTACTTCTTGGGGAAGAAGAGCATTTCAGATGTTGCAACCGAAACCTACTGGAAGTACTGCAATGAGAAAGCAGTGGGACTATTTCGAGGAGGAAGACCAGAATTAGTGATTAGAGACTTGGAAACCATAAAACAAGTTCTTGTTACAGATTTTGTTAATTTCCATTCACGTGGTCTCAATCATTGTGAGGATGGTTCTGAACCTATGATGAACAATTTATTTTTTGCAAAAGGTGATGTGTGGCGACTACTGCGGCAACGGATGACGCCGGCTTTTACTACTAGCAAACTAAAGGCGATGTTCCCTCTGATCGTGGAGCGTGCTGAGAAGTTGCAATCACGAGCGCTAGCATTCGCTACGACAGGTCAGACCATGGACGCATATAGTTTCATGGCACGATATACTATTGATTTCATTGCAACCTGCGGGTTCGGATTAGATATTAAAGCCCTAGAGCAAGAAGACTCACCAGTAGACAAACTCGGACCAAAGATTTTTAAATACAATACAAGAGATATGTTTCTTCGTTTTATAAACTTTAACCTCCCAAGTATCGGGAAACAATTCAAAGTGTTTCGAGATACTGAAATAGAAATGGTCACTTTGACTAAACAAATTTTAAAGGAGAGGAATTATGAACCTTCGGGTCGAAATGATTTTGTTGATTTACTGCTAGAATGTAGGAAAAAAGGATTAATTGTTGGTGAATCTATAGAAAATAAGAAAGCAGACGGAAGTCCTGAAACAGCGACGCTAGAGCTAGATGATGTAATTTTAGCCGCACAAATATTTGTTTTCTTTTCTGCGGGATTTGAAACTTCATCGTCTGCTACAAGTTTCACATTGCATCTACTTGCTTACAATCCTAAAATACAGAAAAAAGTTCAAGAGGATATTGATAGAGTACTTAGTAAATTTGACAATACACTCAGCTACGATGCTGTTAAAGACATGACTTATCTAGAATGGACATTCAAGGAAAGTATGAGAATATATCCGGCAGGAGGAGTATTTGTAAGAGAATGTAATCAGAAGACACAAATCCCTAATCTGAATACAACACTAGACGAGGGTGTCAGAATACTTATTCCAGTTTACGCACTGCACCATGACCCTCAATATTTCGATAACCCCGAAGAATTCCGACCAGAGAGATTCAGTCCCGAAGAATTCAGTAATATCATTAAATATAGCTACTTACCATTTGGAGAAGGTCCACGGGCGTGTATAGGTAAGTTCTTTGTCAATTAAAAAAATGGTGTATACTTTACGAGTAATCATTTATCATCATCATCATCATCATTTCAGCCATTATCCGAGTAATCATTGTTTAATAATAATTGGTTTCTGATAGTTATAATTTCAATTCAATTTATTTGTTACGTTCTACATGATTAATATTAACAAAAAATCTAAAAAATCAGTAATGTAAGTATATTATGGACCCTGCAGAGTATAGCAATTTGAAGTAGGAGGACGTCCTTTTTAAAATATTCGTAAGATCTCCATAATTTATATCTAATTTATATAGCAAAATTAAATTTTTAGGTTTATGTTTATTTCATTTGATTAATTTAATTTATTTAAGTTTTAATCCAAATATCCGTTTTATTGAATTTAATTTATTCTAAATGATTCAATTTAATTTTCAATTTGGTTTATTAAATTAATCTAATTTTTATAAATTTAATTCTAATTAAAATCTAATTAATTTAATTATTTAGGCCATTCTTAATTTTTACTTATTTATAATTTTGTATAGTTATTTCTTTTCTATTGTTATCAGTTTTAATGGTATTAGCTTTATATATAAATATTCTTCTATATCATACTAACATTTTTAGCTAATAATTGCTTTATTTGTAATATAAATAGTTTTTCGTTTTTTATTTTTTAATAAATAATTAAGTAAGTCATTATAAATATTTTTTAACATTACGAGAGGACTTGATAAACGAAGTTGGAGTTTATATCTCCATCTAATACAATATTTAGAAGATATATTTTAGCGTTTCTTATAAAAATTGAAATGTTTCCTTACAAATTTACTAATTTCCAAAATATAGATGTACAGTAAAGAAAGTATTTTGTATTATTGAAAATTAGGTTTTACAGCTATCGGTAGATATAGCTGTAAGCTGATATTACTTGTATTAAATTAAATTTAGCTTGCATGAATCAGGTTTCTAAAATGCATATAGCTTGACAATCTGAATTTGAATCAAAAATGCTTCTAAAATATAGAGCTTATTAAACAAACTTTGTTAATTTTGGTATAATATTTTAACGATTCTTTGGTTTCGAAAGTAATTATTGTTATATTATAGGTTCTTTTTATAAATATTACCTTGATATGTTTTTTTTCGATTTCATGTCTTTTATTACAATTAGTAGATTTATAAACACTATCTTCACTTATACTATTTTATACTTTTATTTCTTTCTATACATTACATACACTTTTACTATATTTTATTGCTTTTTTGCAAAGATTTTTGTTATCATATCGTACAATTTTTTTAAAGTTATTTCTTTTGATATACATATTATGTGAACATTCATGTATATTATCACCTTGTCGTTTATAGGCATATTGTTTTTATCACCTGCGTATTTTATCGATGATATACTCCAGTACTTTTAATTTTTTTGTGTGATGGTATTTAGTTGTGATTCTTCGTCTATGATAGGATTTATTAAAGTGTTTATATTATTCTCAGAGATCTTATGTTTACAAGTTTGGCATTTCCGATTATTATTATGTCCTGTTAGCATCATATTATAAATACTGTTTGTCGGTAACATTTGCACACTGCAAAATAATAATTGTGGCTACATGTCGAACATTTGAGATATTTTCTTCTAAGAATACTTTGTTTTCATCTAACGCATTGCAGTGATATCTTATTGTTAACGTAACTATAAACAGTATAATTGTTTCTTCGAAGTCTTTATATCTCTATGAAAACCAATTATGTAAAATGTTTTGAAGCACTTGCATATGTTCGAACTATGAGCTTTTGGAATCGGTATCAGCTTAGAGAGCTGGCTTCATTACTGGAACAGCTAGCTAACTAAATTTTAATACAAAAATAACTATCACTTTAAAAACTCGGTATCGGTGTAAGGTTGACATAAGTACAATCTTATTTAGGTCTCAAGGTCAAATAGTTAATTTCATGATAAATTTTTTCAAACTCTATGAGCAGCCTTTGACCTTTTAAGCTTAATTCGGGCTATGTCGGTCACTTTAGCTAGCTGCGGATATTCTCTTTTAGGATCCTCACAAGCACTATCGAATCATTAAATTTGAGGAGAGACTGTCTACTTCTGATGTTTAACTCCTTGTACCACCGCCACCAAACACCATAGTGGTATGAAACAGCATACATTAGTGTGGTAGTTTATACTGTAATGTTAAAATAAGTGGTGTGATAACTAAATTACAATACTTATTTTAACATTACCATTTATTTCAAATTCGTACCTACTGAAACCAAAAGTACAACGTTTGGATTTTTGGAGATTTGTTGCTCCATTATTATTAAACAGCTGGATTCTATACATTTAGAAGTAACACAGATAGTAATTTGATACACGAATAAACAAGACTCACCAGAGAGAGACGTTGTCTTGGACAGAGATACCCAAGCAAAAGTCGTTTGCTTGGATATCTCTGTCCCATTCGTGTTTCTACGGTGAAGCAATTGTGTTTGCATGGCTGTGTTTCGGTTTAAAGGGTGGGATATGGCAGTGAATTTACAGGGTACAGAGGAATAACATCTGAGTCCTCAGGAATGGCAACGCATGGGGGGTATCATGGGCGAAACAATATACTCTGTTATGTCTATGGTACTGCTTATGTCTACAGGCGACGGTTACCACTTTCCATCATATGGGCTGTCAGATTATTTGCCATTCTATGTTGCATAAAGTAAAACTAAAACCTTGAAATTAATCTACGATATTGTTTTTTAATGTATTAAATTACTAGGACACTTATTATTTAATAGGTTATATAAAAAATAATAATAATTAACCAGGAGAGCAAACCACTGATTTCATCCTCACCTATCCCGATCCCCATCAGCCTATATCGATAACGCAGCAATCATTTAAGAAAACTACATTGCCATTAGTACATTCCTTTGGGTCTTATACCACTACCTTGTTTTTTTTTTGGATTTTCAGGCGAGCGACTAGCTCTGATGCAGTCTCTGGCAGGTCTCGCGGCAATATTGTCGCGTTTCACCGTGGAGCCCGCCCCGGAGAGCACGCGCCATCCCGCATATGATCCCCTGTCAGAAATTACCTTAATGGTAAAAGGTCAATTACCTCTCCTCCTTAAGAAAAGGAATGACACCGTTACTTAACTGTCATATTTAAATTCATTAAATTACTCTTAAATATGTAATAAATCCTATGCTACTAAGAAAATATACGAAAATTTCATTAGACTTTAGGCAATTTACTATAGACTGATATAGATGACGCTTTTTGTACAAATGTTTGCGCTAAATCGGCTGAACAGATATATGTACAGTTTGCTACTCAAAAACACTTAATTCATTACAAATGCAATATGATAAATTAAGATCTTGTATCTTATAATCTTTAAAAATATTTTTAGTTTTTTTTTTTAATATACTTTTCTCACCTATTTGCAAAAATTATGTTTTTATATGCATTTTTAAATGACTTTACATGTTTAAAATATATGATAATATTTGTATTTAAATGGCATTTAATTTAACAGTAATTTAGAAATAACTAATTAACTATTTATTTGTGCGTAGTAATTAACTCATGTAGGTAATGAACATAGAATAAAATTTCAAGAGAGTTTAAATTTTATGTAAATTTTAATGTAAAATTAAGGTTAAAGGTCAACCTAATGGATTTTTATTGTCATAAATTATAATATATTTGAATTAAATTTTTGTATGCTTTACAAGATTATACATTATTTAATTTATTCTTATGATAATATCTAGTAAATATTATATTAAACTCAATAAAGTCGTCACACTCAAAACCTTGATACTAAATTAAGTTCTAAGGCGATGCTAGACGCTAGGTTAAACAATATACTAATTTTAATACCTTAATATTAGTTTATTTTAGTAGACTAGAGGGAGACTTTGTACAAAGGTCGTTTGCTTGGGTACCTCTGTCCCATTCGTGTTTCAACTGTAAAACAGTTGTGTTTGCATGGCTGCGTTTCGGTTTGAAGGGTAGGATATGGCGTGAATTTACTGGGTACAGAGGAATAACGCCTGAGTCCTCAGGAATGGCAACGCATGGGAGGTATCATGGGCGAAACAGTACTCTGTTATATCCTTGGTACTGCTCATGTTTATAGGCGACGGTTATCACTTTCCATCAGGTGGGCCGTTAGCTTGTTTGCCATTCTAAGTTGTATAAAAAAAAATTGTATACTGTCATGTTAGTTATGTGTAATAACTTTATCCTTATATACATCTCTTGCTTCCTGTCTTCGTCTTTGGCACTCGATTCTCTCCATTCTCGCAAAGGACTTGTTGTGTAAATAGATATATACTGTCCTATGGAATATTTATTTGCATTAAAGTATCTTTAAAGTATAAAAAGATGTTCCATTCTAGCGATCAACGTGAATCATTACCATAAATCGATAATATATACATGAAAACATTTTGTATTGTCTACTTATAGCGTACTGGACTACCTAAAGACGTGCAATCTCTATAAAATATTGCTGTTATTGTAGTATTACAATAAATAATTAATAATATATGTGTGAGTATATATGTATATAATTTTTATATATTTTTAATTTGCAAAAGATGCTTTTTTAATTATAAAGCACTATCATACCTACTTGTACAACAATTAGTCCATTACCTTGTAGGTTGTCTTGAAAAGATCGCTCTCAGCAATAAGACCACCTTACTGTACTTATACAATTGTATCGTTGTGTTTGTAAATTGTCTTGCTTATTTCCTATATTGTATGATGCAAATAAGTATACTCATTCATTCAATAATTAAGAATATAAACTGTTGAGTTTCTTGCAGGCTCTTCGCAACCACTTTCCGTAGCCACCAATAGATAAAAAAAATAACAATTTAGAAATGCTTCTAAACAAGTTTATATAAAGAAGAATGATTTGAATTTGAAAATTAGAATCAATAAATACGCAGCTGTTTTTATGTCACTAACGATATACAAGGTCTCGCATTGGTTATGCGTGCATTGTTTCTTAACTTAAACAGAGGGATTTAAAAGTATCATTGTTTACTTTTATAAAATTAGTGACATATTCTTAACACTTCCTTTATTTGACGTTTGAATACAAAGAAACTAGTTACTCATATTGACGAGTCTAATCCATCGAAATTAATATCATCTGAGCAAATATAGAGATAGGTAATAACAAACTTTGGATTTCTATAAAAGCAACCGATGTGCCTCGGGGTCATTAGAGCGTGTAAGAAAAGCGTTTACTGAATACACACATGAAGTCATAAAGCTAGCAAAATGATCACCTTAACAATAGCGTTAGTGGTATTATCACTGTTTTACTACTACTACAGTGTAACATCTTTCAAATATTGGAAAACAAGAGGAATAAAACACGACAAGCCTGTACCGCTCTTCGGAAACTGTTTATGGTACTTCTTGGGAAAGAAGAGCATTTCAGATGTTGCAACCGAAACCTACTGGAAGTATTGCAATGAGAAAGCAGTGGGACTATTTCGAGGAGGAAGACCAGAATTAGTGATTAGAGATCCAGAAACCATAAAACATGTTCTTGTCACAAATTTTACGAATTTCCATTCACGAGGTCTCAATCATCGCGAGGATAATTCTGAACCTATGATGAACAACTTATTTTTTGCAAAAGGTGACGTGTGGCGACTACTACGGCAAAGGATGACGCCGGCTTTCACTACCAGCAAGCTGAAGGGGATGTTCCCTCTGATCGTGGAGCGTGCTGAGAAGTTGCAAACACGAGCGCTAGCAGCTGCTGCCACAGGTCAGGCTATAGATGTATATAGTTTCATGGCAAGATACACTATTGATTTCATTGCATCATGCGGGTTCGGATTAGATATCAACGCCCTAGACCAAGAAGACTCACCGGTTGATAAACTCGGAGCAAAGATCTTTAAATACAATACAAGAGATAGATTACTTCGTTTTATAAATTTTCTCGTTCCAAGTATAGGGAAACAATTCAAAGTATTTAGAAATATTGAAGACGAAATGATCACTTTGACTAAACAAATCTTAAAGCAGAGGAACTATGAACCTTCGGGTAGAAACGATTTTATTGATTTATTGCTTGAATGCAAGAAAAAAGGATTAATTGTGGGTGAATCTATAGAAAATAAGAAAGCAGATGGAAGCCCTGAAACAGCGACACTAGAGTTAGATGATATAATTTTGGCTGCACAAATTTTAGCTTTTTTTGCTGCGGGATTTGAAACTTCATCAACTGCTACTAGTTTTACATTACATCTACTTGCATACAATCCTGAAATTCAGAAAAAAGTTCAAGAGGACGTTGATAGAGTACTTAATAAATATGATAATACACTCTGCTACGATGCTGTTAAAGAAATGACTTACCTAGATTGGACATTCAAGGAAAGTTTGAGAATACACCCGGCAACAGGAGTATTTGTAAGAGAATGTAATCAGAAGACACAAATCCCTAATCTGAATACAACATTAGACGAGGGTGTCAGAATACTTATTCCAGTTTACGCACTGCACCATGATCCTCAATATTTTGATAACCCCGAAGAATTCCGACCAGAGAGATTCAGTCCTGAAGAATTTAGTAATATCACTAAATATAGCTACTTACCATTTGGAGAAGGTCCACGGGCGTGTATAGGTAAGTTTTATTTCAATAAAAAAAAATAGTGTGCACTTTATGAGTAATCCATTAATATTAGTCTGAATAAGACACCAGTTTTTCCAATGGTAGTTATTTCTTCGAGCCATATGAGCGGCCTTAGACCACTTCGACTAGCCTCAAGTTATATCGATGTCTTTGGGTTATATCAGTGTCATTTCGGATTCTTACAAGCAGCATTATGCTATAAGTATATTCCTTAATCTCTCGAACCACTACTTACTTTAATTGTATTTGCAGGCGAGCGACTAGCTCTGATGCAGTCTCTGGCAGGTCTCGCGGCAATATTGTCACGTTTCACCGTGGAGCCCGCTCCGGAAAGCACGCGCCATCCCGCATATGATCCCTTGACGGAAATTACGTTAATGATAAAAGACGAATTACCCCTCCTTCTTAAAAAAAGGAGTAATACCATTCTGTAATTGTTATATCTACATGCATTAAATTATTCGTTAATATGTAATAATCCTAATCCAATAAAATAGTTTAAGATATTGTTGAACAAAAAAAACATGTCAAATGTGTTTCATTAGCCAATTTCAACTGTACATTGCTGGACATAAACCTCCCCCTATTGGCGGGTTTTGCCAGTAGTTGCCAAGCTTGGCAGGCGAGTTGGCAATTGCAGTTAGGTTTTGGTGATGTATTAAAAGAGAAGCAACTACCTATCCCTCGGCCATTATCCTTAGTCATCTTTTACGACACTCACGGTAAATGCATTATTGAATTTATTCTTATTTATTAATTCAATTATTAATTTTAATTTGGAAAACACAACAGATATCAATTAAAAATGATAATATTTAATTAACAAGACATTGGACAAGATTGATATCTTAAAACGTGTTAACACAAAATCATGGTTAATTCCTGATGAATTCATCATGATGGGCTAACTGGCTTGTTTTCATTCTCATCGATCACCCTTCACTGGTGCTCCGCCAGCGTATCCCGTTAGCGCAGGCGGGGTTACCATACTATTTTACTCATAAAAGAAATTAAAATTGACAATGACAAGTTATGGTAATAAGTATCTACTGAATATGTATAAAGATAAATCTATATAGAAGGAAGCTTTCGTTTTGTCTTATTTCGTGTTACACATTATTGGTAATTGTGCAACAAGCTTATATATGCCATTGAATAGTTAACAGCTGATGTGAATAATGTACGAATAGACATTTTAATTTTTATAATGGATGATAATAAAATGGTAACCCTGCCTGCGTTAACGATATACACTGGCGAGGCACCAGTGACGGATGATAGGTGAAAATGAAACAGGTCAGTTGGCCTATCGTGAATAACAATAAATCAATCACAATAGTTTCCAGGGGGAACCGCGTGATTGTCGACCTAATAGGGTATATTACTAGCAATGAGATTGTCAATTCCTATTACTATCAAACCCCTCTCTCCCCAATAGACATTGATGGCTGGCAACACTAAAATTGTATTTTTATAACAGGTAGCAACATTTTTTGTACTCTCGCAGTAAACGTTAATTATAGTGGGTTTGCGTCTCTGTATTTTTTTATTTTTCATGTCAATCTAACTACCATATATACATAATTACAGTCCACAATAGCAACTACTTGTATACTTGAAAATATCATGATGTTCGCAGTATACTGTTTATAAAAAGTTCGCGATCTGTCTACTTAATTCTGTTTTTTACTTTATGTATGTTCACCAAAGAGTGACTATACAAAAATCGTCTGCTTGGATATCTCTGTCTTATTCTTGTTTCTGGCGTGAAATAATTCTGTTTGCATGGTTGTTTTTCGATTTGAAGGGTGGGATAAGGCAGTGATTTTACAAGGCACAAAAGCATAACACCTTAGTCCTCAGGAATGGTAACGTATTACACATTCATGTTTCAATCGTGAAGCAGTTGTGTTTGCATAACTGTGTTTCGGTTTGAAGGGTTGGGATATGGCGTGAATTTACAGGGTACAGAGGAATAATACCTGAGTCCTCAGGAATGGCAACGCATGGGGGGTATCATGGGCGAAACAGTATACTCTGTTATGTCCATGGTACTGCTCATGTCTATAGGTGATGGTTACCACTTTACATCAGGTGGGCCGTCAGCTTATTTGCCATTCTAAGTTGTATAAAAAAAAGGAAAAAAAAGAACACAGCAGGCAGTAGATATATCCGCGGTTCAAAATCGATGCACTTTCCAGAATTCTGTTATTCGATATGAACTGTTCTCGAAATTTCTTTGTAAATCACGAAAACACTTCTATTCGATCACTATGTTAGAAGAAACTTCCAGAATAATCTTTACAAAAGTGATGAAGATGCATCATCATAACAATACATTTATATACACACATATATTTATGTTACGTACTAACTTTTTGCCCACAACTTCGTAAGCGTGTACTTTGAATTTAAAAAATATTTTTAAATTAAATATAAGAGATTTCTTCTACATATATTTATTTTATTTTTTATTATTATTTTAACCATTAACTGTCCACTGCTAGACACAAGCCTGCCTGGGAGTTTTGCCAGTTGTTGTCACGCTTGGCAGACAGGGTGGCAACTGCATAATAGCAAGTTTTCATTCATTCATCTATACAATTTTTTTTTTTACATTTATAACATTGTTAGGTTATGGAATGGGGAGCTCCCCTGTCGAGGTTTTTCCAAAAGACTACATCATAGGGTTCTTCAAAAAAGGGATAAAGAGGATTCTATCAAGGTCAACAGCACGCGCGTAATATCCCTGATAATGCAGGCGTCCATAGGTGACGGTAACTGCTTACCATCAGATGGCTGTACACTTTTTTGTTACCTCAGTGGTATAAAAAAAAAATTAATATTTACTTTATTTCTCTTTTGAAAAAAAAAACAAAGAATTTTTTTTTATATATTCATAGAATCAGTATGACGTACTTACGTACTAACAGGCTGGAAATGCAAAAACAAGACGAAAAACAGATTACACTTGTGCAAATGTAATGTGCATGGAAACGTGTGCAGGGAACAGTGCTGCACCATGCACATTTTATCATTAATTTACTTATCGATACTGAAGTATAAATCTTGAAATGCCTAACATTTTATAAACAGCCGTCAAGTGTCTTTGACATTTTTTTTTATACCACTGAGAAGGCAATCAAGCATACGGCCCACCTGATGGTAAGTGGTTAGACGCCTGCAATACCAGCGGTATTACACATACGTTGCCGACCCTGAAGAAACTTTTTTACCCCCTTTTGAAAAACCTAATGCTGTAGTCTCTTGGAAAAACCTCGGCAGGGAGCTTATTCCATAATCTGAGTGACATGTATATATTTTTGTTATTTGCATGTACTTGTTGTCATTTACCACATTCATATCCTTGCTCTGTATTTATATGTTTTCCGTTATTTTATTTTTTTTATTTTAATATTACATCTGGAATCGACAGCTATCTAGATATCTAGAATAACTGAAAAATATTATATTTACACAATACATTGGTCAATTATAGATTCCCAATTTGTATACCAGACAATGTTCAGATTTTTTTTTGGAGGGTATTCGCAAAAAAAAGCATTCGTTAAAGATACTTATTTGAAACGTAGGATAACTGGAAATTCTCGCATCGCTATATTTATGTATATAGACAATTTTAAAAAGTAACTAAAAATTATTTATATAATTTCATATACAATAAATTTAACTACATATGGAGTAACCATGTTGTACAATAATAGGTATTATATTGTAAGAGAATTAATTTTATGACATATTGCAATATTAACTTAATAAGCGGCAGCGTTCCTCTTAAAACATCACCAAAAGCCAAACTGCAGTTGCCAAAACCCCTACCAAATGTGACAACTACTGATAAATCTCCCCAATTGTAAATTACTCATAAAGAACGCTCCATTTCTTAGCTTTGTTCCTTATAATAATCTATGGGGAGTTCCATGTCCAGCAGTGGACAAATGACAACTGGTATGTTAAAACATTTATATGTAATTCTTTTAGCTACATATATTTTGTCAATTTCTATATCGATAATATCGACACTTATTACCAATTCCTAAGAAAATAAAATCATAAATTATAAATATTCTTGTATTTAATATTATTTCAATTTAAATACTTGACAATTCATAGTATTAATTAACTTAAATGTGATAATTTTCTCTGTCGTTTCATATATGAAACACTTGTTATGATTCTTAATATTGTTTTCAAATAACTTCAAGCATATTATAAGAGAAATGTGTACTTATAAGACAGATAGATATTTTTTATTATTTATATATTAATAATAAAATAATTTATCTATCTGTCTATATATCGTCATAGTCGTAGAATACTGATGGATCTGACAAATATTACATATATATGTATATCCGTCAGTATCCTATGACTATGACGACATTATAGCATTACTTACATCACTTACAAGGATTTTCTCTTTTATTTATACTACACCCAAATACTGAACATGTTATGATTTAAAATTATTTTTACTTTTACTTCATTCTACTGCAAAAGGTTAAAATATTTAGGAATTTATTGTTCATGCTCCCACTAAATCAGCTTCGAGCATATATTGTACAAACCAATGTCCTATTATCTGTCTTGCTCTAATATACAGGTTTTTTTTTACTGTTTTTTTTTTTTTCCTTTTACACTACCAATCTATATACTTTATACTATAGATACATATTAATGAATTTAATTTAGCAATATTAATTTCATCTGTGCAAATATGAAAATTGGCATAATATAAAAGTAAGCGAAGTGTAGTGAGACATGACGAAATAAAAAGTCAGTAACTAAGATACACTTGGAGTGTCAGTGTGTGCAAAATGATCACTTTAACAATAGTGTTCGTCGTTTTATCACTACTTTATTACTACAGTATAACGTCCTTCAAATATTGGAAAACGAAAGGAATAAAACACGACAAGCCTGTACCATTGTTCGGAAACTGTTTATGGTACTTTATGGCTAAGAAGAGCTTAACAGATATCGTAAACAAAACCTACTGGAAGTATTACAATGAAAAAGCGGTGGGATTATTTCGAGGGGGAAGACCAGAATTAATAATCAAAGACTTAGAGACCATAAAACATGTTTTTGTCACAGATTTTGTGACTTTCAATTCACGAGGTCTTAATTATCACGAGGATATTTCTGAACCCATGATGAAAAACGTATTTTTTGCAAAAGGTGACTTGTGGCGACTGCTACGTCAACGGATGACGCCAGCTTTCACTACTAGCAAGTTGAAGGGGATGTTCCCTCTGATCATGGATCGGGCTGAGAAGTTACAGGCACGAGCGCTAGCAGTTGCTGCCACAGGCCAGGTTGTCGACGTATATAGACTCATGGCACGGTACGCCATTGATTTCATTGCAACCTGTGGGTTTGGATTAGATATCAACGCCCTAGAGCAAGAAGACTCACCGGTTGATAAACTCGGAGAAATATTCTTTAAATCCAGTATAAGAGATACATTACTTCGTTTTATAAATTATTTCATTCCAAGTATTGGAAAACGCTTCAAAGTATTTAATAATGTTGAAGTAGAAATGGTCACTTTGACTAAACAAATTTTAGAGCAGAGAAACTATGAACCTTCGGGTAGAAATGATTTTGTTGATTTATTACTTGAATGTAAGAAAAAAGGATTAATTGTAGTAGAATCTATAGAACACAAGAAGCCAGACGGCAGCCCTGAAATAGCGACATTAGAGCTAGACGATGTAATTTTAGCCTCACAAATTTTTATTTTTTTTGCTGCGGGATTTGAAACTTCGTCATCTACTACGAGTTACACATTACATTTACTTGCCTACTATCCTGAAGTACAGAGAAAAGTTCAAGAGGACATTGATAGAGTACTTAGTAAATATGGTAACAAACTCTGCTATGATGCTGTTAAAGAAATGACTTATCTAGAATGGGCATTCAAGGAAAGTATGAGAATACACCCAGCAGGAGGAGTCTCTATGAGAGTATGTGCACAGAAGACCCATATTCCTAATATAAATACAACAATAGACAAGGGAGTGAGAGTACTTATTCCAGTTTACGCGATACACCATGACCCTAAATATTTCGATAACCCCGAAGAATTCCGACCAGAGAGATTCAGCCCCGAAGAGTTTAGTAAAATCCCTAAATTCTGCTACTTACCATTTGGAGAAGGTCCACGAGCTTGTATTGGTATGTACATTGTCAATTTAAAAAAATATGTGCCCTTTGTTTCTAGTGTCTTCTATCCTTTATTATGTCGTAGCAGTACATTATAATTCCTATAAGACTGAGTTTGTAATAGTATAATTACAACACGCATTAATACAGGATGTATTATTATCTGTGTACTTAAATATTTTAATTGTCCACTAATTAATATTGACATCTGCATAACTACCTGCATTCGATTCACCGCAATACGTTTGAGATTTTCATATTGCCACTTTAACTATCACACCACTCTCTTTCAACAAAGAATTCTTCCTCAATGGAATCCAAACAGTCGTGTTGATGTTTGAATCGCTGAATTTATTTCAACAAAAGGATGAAAAAAAAAAAAGAAAAAAAGACCCGAATGCCTACAAAACTTAGTATCGATATCAGACCTATTTTATTACATTGAAATTTCTCTGAATATAGAGTATTCTTTAGATACTTTGAAATAGTTATTTATTAATGAGTCTCCGAATTCTGTAGTAATTCACTCTTGAATTCTAGATCTAATTTGGGCAACAGTTTAATATATTACCCTATTATGGTCAATGGCTGGTATCATCTTACCAGCCGTTAACTGTCTACTGCTGGAGATACTTATAATAAATCTGTAGAAAGGTCAATTCTGTACATGAAATATATTTCCAAAATAACTATCAGGGGGTGATTAGTGATCGATACTGATGCCAAAAATGCAATCAGTAAAATTTTTGTCTGTCTGTCTGTATATTCGTTATAGAAACAAAAACTACTCGACGGATTTTAACGAAACTTGGTACAATTATTCTTCATACTTCTGGACAAGTTATAGTATACTTTTCATCACGCTATGATCGATAGGAGCAGAGCAGTGAAGGGAAATGTTGAAAAAACGGGAGAAGTTACTCCTTTTTTAAGCTTCCGTCGCATGTGCAGCCTTAATAGCCACTTTTTAAAATGTTTAAATGTCCACCCGTGTGAAGCCGGGACGAGCCGCTAGTTGTCAATAATTGTCCCGTTTGGCAGACGGGTTGGCAACCGCAGTTTTTGGTAATATTCAAAGAGGAACGCTGCTGCCCATATCTCAACTATCAAGTCCCTTTAGTCGCCTCTTACGACACAGGAGAAAGGAAAGAATAGTCTATTCTATACGGGGACCATACGGCAAATAAATAAATTATGATTGAGACTAATGATGACTAGCTCATCCGTCATACTCGTGAACGAAAGCTGCTTATGAGTGCTTAAGTTTACTTCTTTATTTTCGATGTAATAATACATATAAATAGAATTTAATTCCGATTATAATCACAGTTCCCATGCAAATGCAAAATTATTTTGTACATAATAATTTGGAAAGAGTAACTGTTGAGTAGCGGATTCTACAGCAAATAAAATCATCTAGAAACCAGCTGTACAATCATATAAAATTGACGGTTTAAAGCAGCGTGCAATCGAGTTTATTTGAATAAAAATTACTTCTATTCTATAGTAATGAATAAATTAATTAACAATCATTAAAATTAGAAGAAGAAAAAATACAATAAATTATATAACGGAGGGAAAGGGATTGTCAGTAATGGAGACTGAGAATCCTATTGCTAGCAATATACCCAACCAGATCGACCTCCTCGCGGTTCTCCCTGGAAACTATCATGGTTAATTTCTGATGAATTCATCATGATGGGCTAACTGGCCTGTTTTCATTCTCATCTATCACTCTTCACTGGTGCTCCGCCGGCGTATACCGTTAGCGCAGGCGGGGTCACCATACCATTTTCACCCAACAAAAAAAAAATTATATAACCATTTTTCTACCCTTACCTCAATTATTATTTGGGGTTAGCGTAATATCTTTTTATACATATTATAAAAAGATTTGGCTTATAGTTTTACGACCGGCCGCCTGCCTGACGTCAACCCTCTTTGCGAATGCATTTGTTGGTGTTTTCCGCCACAGCGCTGGTTTTCAGTCAGTCCCACTCTCAACCAAATACAAAAAATAATGACGATGATTTTTATTATTAACATGATATCACCTGTGAAAACTGACGGTTGTGATTTTCACTTGCAATAGCCTAATGTAACACGCGTGTATTTTATTTTAAAGTAAAATATGTATATTTATTTTGTGTAATAAAAGTGGCCGTGTGGTCGCGGCATAGAATAGGTCAACCCTTCCTTTTCTATGGGTGTCGTAAAAGACGACTAAGGGACGGCGAGGTATGGACAGCAGCATCCTTTAAAACATCTCTAAAACCTAACTGCGGTTACCAATTCTCCTGCCAACGTGGCAACTACTGGCAAAACACCCCAAGGGGAGGCTTATATTCAGAAGTGGACACTTAACAGCGGTTATGATGAATATTTCCTTTATTATTAACGTGACATCAACTGTGATAAATTATAGTTGTGATTTTTGCACGCAATAACCTAATATCACAGCACTTATTATCCCTATTTTATTTTAAAATAAAATATTAATATTTATTTTGTATAATAAGAGTAAGCGAATAAAGACTCTTTATGGGCCAATCTATTGTCTGTTGTTGTTACTATTGCGATTTCATTTACAGCTATTTGTAACAGTTTATTTGAAGCAAGGTAGCAGATGTAATAAATGATTTTTCGTATCATATGATATTTCATTTTCTTCATGTCGAATATTCCAATCCTATTGAATATAAACCTCCTTCATACATTATCATAGCGAAGAGGAGACTGCTACAAATATACTATGTCAATTTCCACATAGTCTTATTTGGAAACTAACATAATGAGTTCATCAAGATGGATCAACCAACCTTTCAATCTCACCTATCACTGGTATCCCAACAGTGTATACCGATAGCACAGTAGAACACCTTTTCATTCATCATCATCATTTCAGCCCATTATTCGTCCACTGCTGGACATAAGCCTCCCCTATACACTGCCATAAAGAACAGTCCTGAGCCACTTGCTTCCACTGACTCCCTGCAATGCATTTCAGGTCGTCACTCCATCTAGTAAGGGCTCATCCTACACTGCGTTTACTTATACACGGTCTCCACTTAAGAACCTTTATTCCCCATCAGTTGGCGGCTCTTCGAGCTATGTGACCAGCCCATTGCCACTTCATCTTGCTTATCCTTCGGGCTATGTCGGTTCTATTACGCACGTTCTCGTTTCGGATTTTATCAGGCAGAGAGACTCCGAGCATAGTTTTCTCCATTGCCACCTGAGTAACTTGAAGCTTTAATATATGGGCAATCGTGTAGGACCATGTTTCGGTTCCATAAGTCATCACTGGCAACACACACTGGTTATAAACCTTCGTCACTTTTTCCTTATGAACTACAAATAAGTATATTCCTTAATCTCTCTGACCCATACTTACTTTATTTGTATTTTCAGGCGAGCGACTAGCTCTGATACAGGCTCTGGCAGGTCTCGCAGCGATATTGTCGCGTTTCACCGTGGAGCCCGCCCCGGAGAGCACGCGCCATCCCGCATATGATCCCCTGTCAGAAATTACCTTAATGGTAAAAGGTCAATTACCCCTCCTCCTTAAGAAAAGGAGTGACACTGTTACGTAACTGTTATATCTGCATTCATTAAATTAATCATTAAATTATAGATAACTGTTGTGATTTAATAAATATTCCACAAATATTTTAATAAAAATTTTAAATGCATTAATTGTGATACAATAATGTAATGTATAATCTGAGTGAATATTTATAATAAGTAGAGGTATATATTTAAATTATTAAATGTATTACATCTCCATATTTAGAAATAATAGAATTTTTATCGTGCCTCCGATCAAACTGTTTATAATTACTCCTCTCCATCCAAAGGTTGCCTTGAAGAGATCGCTCTTAGCGATAAGGTCGCCCATTGTTTTCTCATTGTGATTATTTCTTGTAATTGTTTTTATTTATAATAAGTTTACTACTGTAATCTTTTGGTGAAAACAATAAAGAGTGTAATAATATTAATATCTATCTATTTATTTATGTAATAATTCATTTGAAATACTTGGTTAAAATAATATAATTAAACACTAAATTCGAGGCTTGTATCGCTGCAATCTTGTATCAATAAATACATAATTTAGAATACACACTTTTATATGTATATTGTATGAGCCATTAACTGTCCACTGCTAAATATAATCTCTTCTATAAGAGGAGTGTTGCCACACTTGGCAGACGGGTTGGTATCCGCATTTTGGCTTTTGGTATTGTTCTCAGAGGGACGCTACTGCCAATCCTTCCACTATATGCTTCCTTAGTCGCCTCTTACGACACCCACGACAAAAGAAGGGCTGGACTATTTCTATGACGAGACTTACAAGTATATATATATACATTTTGATTATAAATAAAAGAACGAATAGTTGAATGAATAATTTATCAAGTCATATTTGTTCCAATTGTTTACATAGTAAATTCCAGTTTGTATTACATGCCTAGGAAAATATTTATATTCTATGTACATTGAAAAACATCGACATATACTAAATAATAGGTAAATTAAGGAATCTAAATAATAGTTGTTATGGACATTTGTCGTGTTTTTTTTTCCAGTTGTTTACATATTAAATTCCTTTCATATTAAATAGAAGAATACTAGCATTTACTAGTTACATTATATTGGTATTGACGGTATACAAACAATACTATTATTCATTTCAAACATAGCGTCATCAAAAATAATTCAGTAGTATGCTGCCTCAATCTATAGAACTTAAAAGTAATTATATTAATTAAAAAAATAAAATAAATTGAATGATATAAAAATTTTGTGTCAACATAACTAAAAGTTTAATAATATATATATATATATATATATATATATATATATATATATATATATATATATATATATATATATATATATATATAGGTTGGTTGTAGACTAGTAGAGAATGTTACTAGCGATAAGTCCGCCTTTTGTCATCCCTCACTGGTGCCCCGCCAACGGGTCACCATTACATTATCAACCATTTAAAAAAAAGTTCGCCATTTGTACCATGTTTTTCTTTTGGTCAGTTAAGTTATTTAAAACAAAAAAAAATCCAACCTAACATATATGATTATAGCTAGTTCTTAGACGATATTGATAGAGCATTAAGCCTGAGCGTCAAAAATATGTCTATATATATAAATATAAAAAAATATGTCTAAGTATATATATACTACTTAGAATGGCAAACAAGCTAACGACCCACCTGATGGAAAGTGGTAACCGTCGCCTATAGATATGAGCAGTACCATGGACATAACAGAGTATACTGTTTCACCCATGATACCCCCCATGCGTTGCTATTCCTGAAGACTCGGGTGTTATTCCTCTGTATCCTGTAAATTCACGCCATATACCATCCTACAAATCCTATTTTTTTAATGGGTAAAATTGGAATGTAACTCCGCCTGCGCTATCGGTATACGATGGCGGGGCACCAGTGAGGGATGATAGGTGAGGATGAAAAGGCAGGTCAGTCGGCCTATCGTGAAGAATTCGACAAGAATTAATCACTATGGTTTCCAGAGGGAACCGCGTAGAAGTCAACCTGATAGGCTATATTGCTGAGGCTGGGGCAATGGAGCTGCTAAAACTCATGACTAATAATCCCTCTCCCCCCTCATTGTCATCATCATATCAGCCCTGAACCGTCCAATGCTGAACATAAACCTTCCTCTTGGGGATTCTTTCCAGTACATACCACCCTTGGCAGGCGGATGGGCAACCGCATTCAGGCTTTAGAGGTGTTTTAAAAGGGACGCTGCTGCCCATCCCTCGCCGTCCCTTAGTCGTGTTTTACAACACCCCTTTTCCCCCTCATTCACCATTTGTTCTTGTAGCTATTATTAAAATGTACAGACACTGTTCATACGAAGTGAATGTTTTAACCCATCTTTGCATGATGGTGGAAATTTCCATCATAACATTGAATGCCCAAAAATTATATAAAAGACCAAATTCACTTTAAGTTGATCGTGTCTGGATACCTTTTTAATGTTCATTGCAGAAAAAAATCCATAGCTGCCAAATTTTTTTTTTTTTTTAATTTAATTTTGAACATTTTTTTCTTTAATTTTGAACATCAATAAAAAAAAACATGCAAAGAACGGTTAAAATGCAGCCAGCGAGTATTTTGGGGTATAGTTTAATCTCGCCGTCAATCACATATGGTTATTTAACTTTAGACACCGCCCGCCGACCGCAGTGCCACTTGCTGTGATACGTCATGATGAAGATCAAGTGAGGAACTAGCTTAATGTGCTCGTATTACATTTTGAATATAAAATTAAAATAAACTAATTTCTACAGACATACATATCTGTCACGCCTGTCTACCATAAGGGTAGGCAGAAACAATAGAACGCCAAATGCTTCGATTCAAACAAACCTCTTTCGCTTCTTCCACGATCATCAATCTTTTCATACACGCTCGCTGGTTACGGGTACTTTTAATTTGGCCCTTCTTCAGCACGTCGCCTATTTGGTCAACATACTTCCGTCTAGGGCGGCCCCTACCGACTAATTTCTAATCTTTTAGTATAGTAGCTTTTACCCGCTACCTCATCCGAATGACCAGGATATGTTCAGTGACTGCGGCAAAAAGCACCCTATATTCTTTTCCGTCTCAGATAGTATGTGTACAGCAAATTCCATAATGATCGGTAAAGCTGCTATGGCGTTATAAACTAACAAACAAACTCACTTTTACATAATATTTGTAAAGATTGTAGAAGAGAAATGATCTTAATTCAAATAGTCTTATTAGCTAGATAGATAGATAATTTATTTGCATTACTCACTGCACACAAATTACAATACAAACATATACATAATACACAGTAAAAGATATAAAAGAAGGAAAAAAAAGAAATAAAAAAAACAAAAAGCAAAATATATAAAACAACAAACAAAACAAAAACTCATTTAAATCGTAATTCTTTTATGATATTGCTTACTTTTTTACAACTTTAAAAAGAGGTATTCAAAATTTATAACTGGATTCGATAATTTTGTGTGTATGTGTGCGTGCGTGCGTGCGTACGTGCGTGCGTGGGTTAGTGCGTGCGTACGTGCGTGCGTGCAAGGATACTTGCTCGCTGACAGCCCACCTAATAGAAAGTGGTATCGCCACCTATATATAGACATTAATAATACTATGCATATAGTTGGTATACTTGATACCCTTCATGTGTTACCATTTCTGAGGTCTAAGAAAAATCTTATGCCACTGTATCCTGTAATTTAACTGCCATATCCCAGCCTTCAAACCGAAACACAATTACTTCACAGCAGAAACACTAGTGGGACACAGGTACCTAAGTAAACGGTTTTTGTACTGTTATTAAGTACATATTGGGCGACCTTGGTGTATACGTTTTACATATCGTTTCACTTTCCTATAGTCGCGTGTTCGATTCCAGTACGTACAAACATTAGTGTTCACGTGTATCTACATATATTTATATTTGTCTAGGTGTTTCTATTTATATCATTAACCAGCTTTTAACAGTTATCTCGAACGCATAGATTTCAAAAGTAGGAAAAATCAATAAAATAAACCGTTTTTAGATGGCGTATCAAAATAAAACATTCACTAGATGTTCAGTTAGTCCTTCAAGAATATAACGGTGAATACTGCATCCATTTTAGTACAGTAGTTTTTTGCGTGAGACAGATAGATAGATAAACAAATAGACAGATGAAATTTCTAACAACTATTAAAAAAAATAAAGTGGATTTATTACCAAAAAGAAACAAGGTTATGTCGAAAAGATTGCTCTCAGCAATAAGACCGCCATACTGTACTTATACAACTGTATCGTTACATATATTAATTGTCATACTTCCTTATATAATTTGTTCCTTATACTAATGCAAATATACTCATTCATTCAATAACAGAGATCGAACAGAATATATAGATATATCTGTCTATATGTGTGTGTGTGTGTGTGTTTGTGTGTGTGTGTGTGTGTGTGTGTGTGTGTGTATGTGTGTTGCATAAAAAAATTCATAAAAAAGTACAACTTTGCTTAGTTGAGGACTAGACTAAAGACTATTTGAAATATCCATATTTTCTCTTTCAAAAATCACCTACTGGCGTTTGACAAATTCAAATTTGTCATAAGATAATAGTAGTTAATGAGTATGATCCTAAACTGGAAGGTCATAATTGGTAATTAAGTGCCGATCGCAGCTCCGACCGATTATCGGTTAAGTAATCTCCCTTCGATCTTTACCCCATGGTAGAATCTATTAGAGAAATTACAGAATTAATTCATAGATATAATAGCAAAAACATAAGTCGTTATAGTCTTGAACGTGATAAAAGCTTAAACATTTAGTTATGACATAGATAAAATATTAATGTCTCTGTGGTTACAAGATCTCGTTAAACAAAATTATTCGCGAGGTAAGTTCATTGTGGATAGAGACATCTCTACGAATGAGTTTCCAACCTTCAAAAAGAAGGCAGTTCTCAATTTGGTTCTATTTTTATGTTTGTTACCTCATAACTCTATTTGTTTATTTACGAGTACAAGGTAAGTTCATTGTGAATAGAGGCATCTCTACGAATGAGTTTACAACCGACTTTATAATAAAGAAGATTCTCAATATGATTTTATTTTTTATGTTTACTTCCTCATAACTCTATCAGTTTTAAACCTAATTGGAAAATCCTATTTCTGTCTGAAAGGATATACTTACAGAGAGATTAAATCTCAAAACACAAATTCATATTTAAGTAATTTAAAAAATAATGGTAATAAGATTAACTAAAAAAAAACGACTTTAGTTGTGGTAGTATCAGTTATTCTTATTTAAACACTAAACTATTGAAACGATTTTGATAAAATTTCTATGGCAACCAATCTGAAAGTATATCATCTCAGGAAAATAGATCCTGTAACAGTATACTCTGTTATGTCCATGGTACTGTTCATGACTATAGGCGACGGTTACCACTTTC